ATTTTCAATACTTGAATCGGGACTTGAATTTAAATACCAGTAGCTTCACAATGAATTTAAGCAGTCCTCGAGTGTGCCATTCCAATAAATGAACTTATCTTGTTGAATATATTACACACTAAATATTCTCTGTGACTACATGTAAACAGTTTATATATGTTTTAAGTTGTAAGTGCATCAAACTAGGATTTGAAACAGGTACATAATATACTCCTCAAAAAAAGTTAAGGACCTCATAGGTTTACATGTTAATCCCCATATTTGTTTAACGACTGTTTTCTAAGCTGGGAACAAAAGAAATCCCAATAAAGAAAATAAATCTGTATCTTGATTCTATTCACTATAAAGTCCGCAACGTTTCAATGTTATATCTCCATTACATTGGGTCAAAATTTGATGTCAAAATTGATGAATTTCATGAAATGTAACAAAAATGGCAGATCCCATGTTAAACAAATGGGAAAAAATGCCCAAGGTCAATATCATATTTTCCGAGGAATAAAACCCATATTCAATCCTGACCAGAAATAACCTATTTATTCCATACATCCCTCTAGAATGTTAATGTTACATTTGGATAATGCAAACGTTATATTAATAAATGCACATTCTTTGAAAAATAAAATAAATAAATAAAATAACCGGGAAACTAAAAAAATAGGTCAATACGCTCCAATACGATTTTTTCACGGGGACAATACGATTTTTTCATGTAATAAGCTCCAATACGATTTTTTCATGTAATACGATTCAATACGATTTTAATTCCTTCATATTTCCCTGGGAAAACAGTAGTATTATGGAATAGAATATATTTTCCCTCGGGACCTGCGGCCATCGGACAGATATATTATATTTGCCTCGGGGTAATCCCAATATCCTAATCCTCATATACGATAATCTCTATATCTACCTGATGGACCTTAGGGACCGAAGGTAGACGTGCATATCTCACGAGGGATAAACCCCATATCCAAACCGACCGCACATATCTGCTTTATCATATACATGTACCAAGTAGTTTTCTAAAAAATTAATCTTATTTCCTTTTTTGAATTTTTTAACTTTTTTATTTTTATTCTCTACTCTACTTGTCAAAGGATAATAGACGATAAATATATATATATAGTTTAGCATGATGTGTACTTCTTTCTGTAACTGGAATACGATTCCCGGGGAACCATAAATCTTTTGTGTAGGGTGTGGACATTTTTCTTTTCATTTCTCTAAAATCAGATTATTTTCATAAAATCCATACAAAGTAAGAGAATAAGTAAAAGATAAATGTGTGAATTCTGCTTGTTGTTGCACTATTTTTATAATAAACAAGGTTCGATACGCAATACTGAATAGACTGCAGTCATAGCTTAGTTGTAAAGAAAACAAAAGAAGTTTGGACGTGGTCATGCTTGATTATGTTTCTTTTATATATCACCGTTTGCATTCGTTGAAATCGGCCTGCATTGATTTCAAGAGGTGGTCGGTGCACAAGGTCATATGTTTGAGTTATTGGTTTAATGATAAATGTGACCCTTGAATGCGTTATGCTTTATGTATGCGTGAAACAAATACTCCAATGGCCTAATCTCAATTTGCCTACAAACAATTGTTAAAGTGTTTATTGTACGGTATATATAAATAATTGCGACTCCTGTTGAATAAACTTCATCATAGCATAAGGAAATGAATTAGAATATAAAAATACAAATAATCGTTTGTTGTTCTTAATAAATCACACTTCAGTGAACGTGTTTCGGTTTCGATCAATTGAACTCTATATTTATGAGCCTACGATGACGTCTACATAGGCACATTAGACTACATGAATATAGAGCTGGTTACGTTCACTCCTGTAATTATGAATGAATAGTTGACGATGTTTAGGCCCCCATGTTGAGTTCACTCAGAATACATTTTGAGTAGAGCTTATCACGCTCACAGTTGTAATTGTGAATAAATAGTTCACAATGTTTGGGCCCCCTGATTGTGTTCACTCGGAATACGTTTGAAGTAGGCTAAAACCAATTTGAATTTGAATCGTGTCTCCTCTATTCACCGTGACAGAGCAGCGATTCGCGAGCGATTATTACAACACCTGAGTGAACACGCCCAATAATACCTCGCTTACATAAGGTCAGATTCACACTGTATCGGGGCCTTGGCGATGGGAGTATTATGTGGATTTAATTTTTAACACAATACTAATCCCCGGCGCCCTTGTGATGAAACTGAGCTTATTTTGATCACAAAACAACTTCATGATCATGACAGAAAGGACGGGTGTCATTAAGAGCCCTTTTTAGCCCCCAAGGATATCTGATAATAATGCATATCATATTGAAGAAAAATCATTTGTGCTTTATAAAAATACAATTTCAGCGAATTTTGACCTTTGATGTTCACACAACAGTCATTTAAAGATCATATACCATTTTTGGTGCTTTTAAAAAAAAATCTTTATTTATTGTTGTCTAAGTCAATAGTATGTAAATATTAACCAATTTAAATATATTAAAATGTAATATATGAAATACTGAAGAAAAGATACAATTAAAATTATTTTCATGGATAGCACATAGGGCAATATTGACAAAATGCAAATGCTATTTTGGTAGGTTCTGGGCTAGCAATGGGTACATTTCAACTGTGACTGTTGTTACGCAGTATATGGCATACATTCATGGTTGCGCGGTATTTGTGATACGGGTGAATATGCCATACTCACCTGCGGTATATGGCATATTCCGCAGGTGAGTATGCGATATTCCGCAGTGAATATGCGATACATTGATTTTAGTGAATACCCGATACTCACCTGCGGAATATGTCATACTCACTTGCGGAATATGCCATATACCGCAGGTGAATATGACATATACCGCAGGTGAAAACGTGATACAGAAAGCCTTGATTTGATTGGTTGCGAGAATCGACTCTAAATGTAAAACTACGCTGGATTACTGAATTAGTTAGTGCGTCGAGTACCAATATATGAATCCTGGATTGATTGAGTAAGTTTAATACGTGAGATTTATTACGCGGTAAACACGATACAAAAATATGTCATATTCCGCAACGAATATGGCATATTCACTTGCGGTGTATGCCAGATTCACCTGCGGTATATGGCATACACACTAACCAATGAGAACGTGATACGGAAGTACGCAATTGTCAATTGCATCGTTTGAACGAACAAGTAAAATTTTATTAATTATGATAATGATTACTGAATTAACAGTACTGTGTATCAAATATAATAACTTAGCAGAAGTATCAGTCACCAATCTCACGTAATAAACTTACTCAATCAATCCAGGATTCATATATTAGTTCTCGACGCACTAACTATATTGGTAATCTAGCGTAGTTTTACATTTAGAGTCGACTCTCGCAACCAATCAAATCAAAGCCTTCTGTATCACGTTTTCACATGCGGTATATGTCATATTCACCTGCGGTGTATGGCATATTCCGCAAGTGAGTATGACATATTCCGCAGGTGAGTATCGGGTATTCACTGAAATCAATGTATCGCATATTCACTGCGGAATATCGCATACTCACTTGCAGAATATGCCATATACCGCAGGTGAGTATGGCATATTCACCCGTATCACAAATACCGCGCAACCATGAATGTATGCCATATACCGCGTAACAAGATTGGTGACTGATACTTCTGCTAAGTTACTATATTCGATACTTATGCATATGTTGATATATTCGATAAATTGTACTGTTGATTCAGTAATCATTATAATAATTTATATTTTTACTTGTTCGTTCAATCGATGTAATTGACAATTGCGTACTTCCGTATCACGTTCTCATTGGTTAGTGTGTATGCCATATACCGCAGGTGAATCTGTCATACACCGCAAGTGAATATGCCATATTCATTGCGGAATATGACATATTTTTTGTATCGTGTTTACCGCGTAACAACTGTAATGGATTACTATTGACTTTTATCAACATCACAGGGCAATATTTAAGCAACTTAAATACAAGGAAAATCAAAGATTTCCTCTCATTTCTAAAACGAGGAACAAAAGCATGAATTCAAGGAAAATAAATGATAGCCTGTGCCAATTGTTACGCGGAATATGGCATATATTCATGGTTGCGCGGTATTTGTGATACGGGTGAATATGCCATACTCACCTGCGGTATATGGCATATTCCGCAGGTGAGTATGGCATATTCGGCAGTGAATATGTGATACATTGATTTCAGTGAATACCCGATACTCACCTGCAGAATATGTCATACTCATTTGCGGAATATGCCATATTCCGCAGGTGAGTATGATGACCCCCCCCCCCCCCCTTTCTACTAAGAAGGGATCAGACAAGGGGGAGTCATTAGTGATCTTTACTGAACAAGTGAACCCTCTATATGAACACCTGATTAATCGCCATAATTTACCATTAATTCCTTGATTGAAAAGTTTGAATAAGAGGCCATTGTGCCACACGCTGTCAAAAGCTTTTTTGATGTCCAATGCCATTTTCTAAGCCATAAGAGATTGCTTCACGAGTCAGTAAAGATGTATGTACACTTGAACACTTCTCAACACCAACACCTTGCATGTCTGATTTTATCTCCCTACGCGGGCATTTCTGAGATCTGTTAAGCATTAACCGTTCAAATAATTTCATGAAGGTTGTTAATAGGGTGATCCCTCTATGATGATCCTTATTTAAGCAATCTTTATTTCCCCCTTTAAAAAGAGGGAGAATGACAGCTAATTTGAAAGATCTGGGAATGTGTTCTGAGATAACGATATGATTGAACAATGTAACTAAGACCTGGATCACAGGGAGACCCCCCTTAGATAAGTGTTCAGAACTTACTATAAAGTCCCATCCAGGAGCTTTATTATTAGACATCTTTGAGCAAATCTTAGTCATTTCATTTACATCAATTGATTCAGTAAAACTTAAATCATTCTTGAGTTTACTTTCTATCTCTGTTCTATCTACTGAAGTATTCACCATGTCAAAAAACTGTCGGTCATATAAATTATCATGATTACCATGAGCGGACATTAGATCTTTAAAATAAGTCCTCCACTCATTTGTGACCTCCAGTACATCAGTAACTATAGTGCCATCATCAGACTTTATTGCTGGGATACTATTAACCCTCGGTTTTCTCTTTTTAACAAGATACCAGAACTGGTTAAGTGATAATTCTTCTAATTTATCTATTTCCAATTGACATTCGTTTTCATAAACCTGTTGAGCTTTTCTAAACTCACGTCTGAAAGACCTTTTTGCATTTTTATAATTATCCCAAATCATATTACCTCTACTCCTGGGTTTATCATGTTTAACCCATTCATTCCAGGAATTATTTTTACACTTGACTAGTTCTTTCAGAATAGGAGACCAATAAGGCTTTAAATGTCTGCAATATTTAGATTTAGGTAGATGTTTGTTTGCTGCATAGTGTATAATTTGAGTAAACATGTCAAAACATTCCTCTAATAATGCATTATTTGAGGTATGTTCATCAAGACTAGACATCAAAGGGTTAAGATACTGATTTATTAATGATTCTAATTCCTCTGTATAATCTCTTAAATTCCCCTCAGAGACTTTTTTCCATGCAATTCTTGTGGAATGACTTGTTTGTTGGTTCTTAGGAATAATTCCTTCTTGAAGTAGGAGTTTAACTTTAATTGGTAAGTGATCAGAGAAGTTCAGAGGATCATTCTCAAGAACCATTATACAGTCACATTTACTAACTAGTCGTTCACTCAAAATGCAATGATCAATATAAGACTGACCCGTGTAGTCCCAAAAGAAGGTGTAATCTGGACCTTGACACATAGGGAGCATGTCAACTGGCGTTAAGTTAGAGCGTTTACACATATTTAACAGGTTTACACCATTAGCCGAGATTGACCCTGCCCCCCTTGTTCCAATGTTCTTGCCAAAATCAGCATTAAAATCACCCATTAAAACAGTGTCACCATCACCTTGTAAATCATTAATTATCACCTCAAGCCTCTATAATACCTCAAGGAAGTTATCATTCTTACATCGCACATGTGGTAAATACACACAAATAACATAAAGGTGATGAATACCAGGTCTTAATATTTTGATAACCATGTATCTATCACTTTTGTATTTCGTAACATGAATAATATTTTGGTTTAACGATTTTTTCCAGAAAATAGCAATTCCACCATTTCCAATTATGTGACCTTGATTTAGGGGATCAAGTGTGGTACTACTTTCTGAAACACAAGTAAAGTCAGGATGAATATCATAAAGTTTGTTTAGCGAACCTGGATATAACCAATGTTCTGTGAGGCAGAGAATATCAGTTTTATCAAGCAATGAGTTTAAATAAGGGCTGCTGGCATTAAAACCATTCGCATTCCATGCAGTTATTTTAAGATTATCTGCTGCTTTCATATTTTGGTAGTTACTATGTATATTGAAAGCACTGGGTGTAAGGAATAAGGACGATGTAAGCACAAATAATGATAATGTTGTCAGAACCATCATTCCTCATAACATTCTTCAACGCAGGAATCACGCCAATCAATGTAAGAAGTATACTCTTTTGAAGCATGGTAAATGTTGTCATGATCAATATCATCAAGCCTGGGAGCATTATTACGACGGCCTTTTGGCACCCATTCTCTGCATTGCACTGGAGAAGGCCAAGCAGAGGGGGACATTGCACGTTCAACATTGGATTTTGGCACAATAATTTTGCATTCAACTCTATTCTGGGACACTTTATTATGCACAACATAGCTTTGCATAATACGTATATTTTGATTTTTAGCATGTGCTGACACCTGGTGTTTTATATCCTCATTAGTCTCACCCTCACATATCTCAATGTTCTCCAAGTATAAGGTAATACCAGATTCAGATTTGACACCTCTGAGAAACCGTGTTGAAGAATTAGCTCCGCTAAGGCCACGAATCGTTGGCTTACTGGCAGTTGACCTTAGATCGAGACGAGGGGGTGGGTTTTTGGCCTTTTACGTCGTACAACATCTGACCAAGTTTCTCCATCTGCTACAGGATCAGACACAATGACTTCAGTGGGATTCTGCGTTGGGTTTAGTGCGGGCTGCGTAGCATTAGGCTTTTTTGAAGTTTCCTTTCCTGGTGCACGGGGTTCGGGAGCTGATGCATGGCGACCGCTTTAATAAATTGTTCTTTTATCATGATGATTTATTTACTGATGGACAACTGGCCAGATTTTCTTTGTATACATTGTTCGGATAAACATTCCTTATTCATTAAAGTAATTAGCCACCCCATTACAAGTAGTCTAAAGACACCCTCATGAAAAATTGAAAATACTATATATAAACCCATCAACTGGAAAATGCCATTACAGATGAAATAAAGGACCCACGGTCCTGCTCACACAGTGTAGAACGTTCAGAGGAATGTATATCCTGATTTTCAAACAAAAGTATTGGTAAATATGAGATCAATGAAAGATGAGTCCTTTGTTGTTGGTTCAGATATGATTTGTTGTAGTCAACGGAAAAACTATGAATTTGACCTAGATTTTGACCTAGGCCTTTTAGTGTCCAAATTTTGAAGGAAAGTAGATTTTGAGGACGGCTTCTATTGTAGATTCTTATTAAGTCGGCTGCATCCAAGCTGTATCTAGTGTTGTGTTGTTACAATTGATAATTTTCTCAAGCCCCATTGACTTAACATGGGATACCAAAATAGCGATTTTTGAGATTTCAAAATGCCATAACTTCCGAACCGGAAGTCGGATCAAAATCTGGTTTGCAGATTCGGATTCTTTGGAGAATTCTACACATATTTCATAACTCATACATTGAATTCCAAGAAGTTTTTATTGTGACCTACTTTTCGGATGCCATATCTCAAAAACGGTAAGAGTGATCAATAACAACTTGCCTGTAGGGATTAGCTTTTTTCCAAGGAACATGATTAAAAAAACGGAGCAAAAATATTGAAGGACGACTGAGAAAATTGAAAAAAATTACAAAGTACTGGATTTGACCTAGTTCTTGACCTTTGACCTAGATAAAACCTGATTAAACCTAGATCTGGACTTGGACCTGAACTGGACCTTGACTTGGACCTGGACTTGGACCTGGAAATGGACTGGACTGGTATTTTTTTCAATCTTTTCTTCACTTCTCTTGACTTTCTTTAAGGCTATCATCAGATCGATTTTTCTCGAAATTTAAAAATCAGCAATTTCTCGGAAACCGGGCGAACTTTGGAAATGGCGATGATAGGTCAAATAGACATTATGGATATGCATAAAATGAATGTGGAAATGACTCAATCCGACTAGCAGTTTTAATTCGTGCAGCAAATGTTGACAGACGGACGGACCAACGGACGGACGGAAAGCCGACCCAATGTTTTTGTCGGTAAAAGGACCTTATACACCCTCCATTGGGATCTCCCCATGGGAAAAAAATAATTCATCTGATTTTTCAAAATGAGTATTCTGCTTCAATTTTTACATTTATATGCACACTAGTATCTTGTTGACCTATATTCAGCACTGTATTGATATATAGGCCACTTATTAGGGTCATAATTCAATCATGAAGTGTAGAGGCATAGATTCCAAACCAGGAAGTATTTTTGTGTCTGTCAAAATCGATTTACATCCTACGCATCCCTGCATCTTATCCAAATATGTTACTACATAATGAAATATAATAGTATAATCTTTGGTTTTACAAACTTGTATGATATTTGATAAGTGTAAAAGTTGTTTTTGAAGCATTTTTCTATAGCCATTTTGTAGGGGAAAAATGATGAAAAAATGTACAATCTTTAAATTTTAAGTATGACCTGAATCGATTGCAAACTTCATATTTGCACATTTGATGAGATAAACCATTTGTGTCGTATTGTGAAATTATTAAATTTGCAATCGATTCAGGTCATAGTGTATTTTTGGTAATTCTGTGATAATCAATGGAAACCAATGGCCTCTATTGGGATCTGCTGATATCCTCATGTTAAGTCAATGGTGCACAGCCCCATGTAAGTCAATACAACCTTACTGAACGAAATGATCCTATCTCAGCTTATGTGTGTCCGAGCACTTTAATATTTTCCAAAGTATTATATGACATTTTATTCTTCATGTTACACCTACGAATGATTCATTTTGACCATAGGGATATTTGTCAATAATTGCACCTTGTCCTTTGTCAAATCAACGACGAGCCTACATTGCCAGACTAGGTCTTCGTGCATTTCTTCAAGAATTCAGTTTTGATTTTGAATCAACATTGGATTGCATGATTTCATTTAGACGAGTATTAATGACTGCTTACATTCCAATGTACATTTAATAACATAATATATTGTAACTCTCAAGAAACACTCGATCAGATCATTGAATTTCAAGTCCTAGACGGGTAGTTTGCTTTTTTTATGCAGGTCAACCTGATAACGTTTTGATTGGTCAATCAGCCTGAAGTCACACGTTGTGTCCATGTCCATATTGTCAATCAATATGGTTTTGCGATACCGTTAGGTAGCCTAGGTATTAGAGAGGTTTCGCAAAACGTTTTTTAGCTCCACGGATCCGTATCCGTAACGTATTTATCAGAATTATGCGTAGTCAGTTCAATTTATACGTGAAATGATACGGGAAACACGAAAAATGAGGCTTTTGTACGTTGGTCATTTACGTATCCGATTTTAACCCTTCGATTCTATTGTTTTTAGTTCTAAAGGTATCACTATATGAACAAGCACAGTGTGCTGTGTATAATTTGACTAACATTTGGTGAATGAATTTGTTTATTGTTTGAAATAAATCGAGTTTTTCAAATGGTATGTTCAATTCATTTTACACTGTATGGAATGGTATTGCAATAATTACAGTGTACATGTTTCGCACAACGTATCAAAATCCGTAACGCATCGATGGAGTAAAAGTGTACTCAATAGAGAGGTTTCGCAAAACGAATTAGCTAAAACGTATCCGCATCCGTATCTCGTTACGTTTACGGATACGTATTTCGATAATTTTCGTTTCGCAGTTCGTTTTTTGAAGTACGTAATTATAAACGCATATCAATCCGTGTTTAATAGTAATGAAAACTAGGGTCAAATAAAAGGCTTCATCTGCACTAAGATTTCAATACACCATTGGAAGTGTCAGCTTTCAGAATCACAACCCCAAAAGTATTTTTGGTGAGTGCAATAATACATATTAACCCTTTCATCCCTAAGGTGTCATTTATTAATTTCATGACATCAATTTCAAAATGAAGAATATCCTTTAGGCCAAAAAAGATTATTTCTAGGTTTACAATAACCACTTCGGTGTCAAATTATACTTTTGGGAATATTTAAGGGTTTGAAAACAGACGTGCAGTGACTGCATTATGCCACAAAATGCGTAAACATTTCTAAAATCACTTGCCAAACTGCACATGGACATTTAATTTCATTTTTTGCAGCTGTATATTTTGGTAATAATTCAAGATCAAATAAGTAAAAAAAATAGCGACTTGGGCAAGGCCAATGCATTCGGAAACCATACGTTTTCACATAAGCCACCCCCCCTTTCCTCATACATGGGCTTTAGTTGAAAACCCATGCCTCATATAAACTAAGGAGGAGAGCAAAGTAACATATTTCATCATAGAAAGCGACAAAAATATATCATTTATGCAATAAAAGTATGTTTTGTATGAGAAATCAACAAAAAATATATTATGTAAAAAGATAAATTAGCATTGTTTTTCTTGAATTGAACAACAGGGGACCAGATCATCAGAGAACGACGCGAAGCTAACGCCTATCATACCAGTTGAATATCTCACCATCATAATACCCTATATCACCATTGGGGTCTACACAGAATCAACTGATAAACCAACAACATAATACCCTAAACCGGCCATTTGTTTCTTAACCCAATAAACACCACAACCTGATCGGACACAGCCCACAACTCG